AGCCAATGAACTAAGCTTTGATTCAGAGTGAAAAAACATCAAAGGATTCACTTTCCTAGCAGGAAATTAGTGCCCAGGTTGTCCTGAGACCTGGCACTGTCAATTTACACAGTTGTGTCTTACTTAGTTCTGGTTTCTCATAGTGATGCTCACATGGAACTAAGCTCTTATAGAGTATCCCATTTGCTCTGGAGCTCAGGAAGGACTCACTCGTGCCATTCTTCATGCTGCCAGAACCAGGTTCTGCAGCAGCTAGACCTCCCAGTCCAAAGTGTTCAGTGTCTCTGAGCAGACCCTGCACCTTGGTGCATCAGGAGGCAGGACAATCCCTGGCACATCTGCCTGTGCAGACAGTCTGGGAGCCACCCACTGCTGCAAACAGAGGTGGTGAGTTGGGAAGCACCTCATTGCATTGCTGTTTTCATAGCAGCTTCTAGTTCTCTCTTACACAATCTGAAAGCACTTACTGCAGGCTCTTCTGGACCATGTGGCTGTGCTTAATTAGCTCTGCAAGTGGGATAGCTTTGACCTCTCTGTTGGTTAAGAGATTATTTGGGGAGGAACATGCAGACCTGGGTATGCTTGGGCTTGCTGACTTCAGAAGTAGGATCGTAGCTCCTCCTGCTGTGTCCAGCTGGTTGGGCTGAGAGCAGCAGCGTGGCTGCAGCAGCATAAAACTCCTGAAAGCTTGTGGAAGAGATGCTTTATTGATAAATCACAGGTTGCTCTGGGAGATGGGCCTCTGTTTTGCAGCAGGATGGGCTCTGAGTGGCCCCCATCAGCTCCTCAATCAGAGAGGCATTATCACTGACAGAGGCAGCCTGACAGGTCTGGTATTTGAGAGAGAAATGACTCAGGCAGGAATGTGTTTGCTGCACACTGTGGAAACGCTGATGTCCTGCTCAGGGGTCCTCATTCATCAGGGAAGTCCTTTTTTCTCTGCTGCTGCCCTAGGGTGCTCGTTAGCACAAGGACTCTTCTCAACCAGCTACTGCTAACCAGGACTGGGACAGGATGCTCCACCATGGCAGCTGTAGTCTCAAAGCATTAAGCGTAATCCTTTGAGCTTCCTTATCACTGTCCTAAGGTCTGGTGCCTCCTGTGGCACCAGAGAAATTGCTGGGAACAAAGCCACGTTCTGCACTGCTTTCCCTGACCCTGTGCTGCCAAATTCCCACCTGAGGATGTGTTTCTTAAGGAGAACAAGGCTTGTGTGTTGGGTCTGAAAAGATCTTTTGTGGTACATGGCAGGCTGCTGAGTACCAGTGCTTCAACCAGCTTGTTTAAGGCAAAATAGTTGGACACAATCTTCTTCCATTTTCAGCTGGTTTAGGACTTAACCTACATGGTGACATTAGGGTACATGCTTACCCTTGCACCTCTTCCACATCCCCAGTGTGTCTTCACAAGAGGATCCTGCAAGTCTGGGAGCAGAGACACGTTCCTTGTCACTGATTTTACAGCCACTCCATGGCCTGTCCCTGGATCAGTGCAGTGCTCCAGAGCCTGCAGCCACCCTTGCCCTGAGAAACTCTCCCCTGGATGATAGAAGTTACTACTTTTGGTGGCTTTCATGGACACCTTGGATCCCAGCCATCCCTCTCCCTACCAATTCAGAACCCAGCTCCATATAGGATGTGCCGTCATATGATTCCAGAGCATCAGTGCTATTCAAGTACCTTAAAATGCAGGGTGTGCCTGGAATGGGCTGTACTTTGTGCTTTCCACAGCCTGGTGGTTACCCATGTTATCATCTAATACCTTCACTTGTGTTGCAGTTTCCAGGAGTCTGAATTGTTCCTTGTCATCAGGCATCCTTATTTGCCCCAGTTCTTCCTCTCCCCTCTCTCCATTTTGCTGTTTCTTTCCTTAGCCAGCCTTTTCTGCAATTCTACAACTTTTCCCCGAATAAGAGTTATTCCTATGCCATGGAGTAGAGATTGGCATAGCTGCGGTGACCAGACTCTGATGGAATTGTGCAGTTTTGCACCATTTCCATTGAAATTTAGCCTAAGAGCCCTCACTCCTGAATCCCCTTCGCATTTAGCATCTGTGTAACTCGGTTCTCCCCCTGAGAACTGGGATATATGGTCCAGGGGTCAAGGTAGCCCTAGAAAATGCCTTTGTGTTCAGCTTGTGTTCAGCTCCTTTGCTTGCAACCTATTCTCCCTGTTACAGCTCCCAAGGGGATTAAAGAGTATCAGAATTAGGATGTGCTGCACAAAGCCAAGGGTGATGTGCAGACCTGATTTCACTGGAATGGTACCCGAAGACAGATCTGAACAGCTCTAGGAATACACATCTGACCCTTGCAAAGGCATCCAGATACCAAAGAATGTTCATCTCGATCTTTAAAGTTTCTACTGGAGTCAGTCAATCCTTAGTATCCCTCCTCCAACTGAGAAGAAGTAGCCTCCACCTTCCCTTCTGCTATTACCCTTGAAGATGTGTGGTGTGATCAGCCCTCCCTTTGCCCTTAATCACTTTCCCCTAGCCTATATAATTAAATTCCATTAGGTATTGCATCTAATTTTTGAGGAGCTCCTGAAGAACAAAAGGCAGTTCAGTTGCAGGCTAACAGAACAAATTAATTAGAAGGGGAATATTAGGCCCTGTCTAAATGAGATCAGCAAATCTCCAGCAGAAGCAGCATAGCTTGGCTGGCTGTGATGCTGTTCCCTTCCTGCATCCAGAGATCACATACAGTGTTCAGAGGCACAGCACTGCTAGGAACTGGATTGGGCTTCGAGCAGCCCATGCTGAAAGGCACCCCAGGGCACAATTTCAAAGCACAACACAGGTTGTTGCTGGCCTTGTGTCTCTCATTATCAGCAGTACGAGTTGTGCCATTAGATTGCTTCACTGTACTTTGGGAATGTGTCCCTGTCATATTCCTGCATATCCAACCCCAATAAAAGTGGATGTTACACGAGTGTAGAGATCTGCATAGTGCTATTTACCAACATTCCTCCTAGCTATGGAGATCTCTGTGAGTAAGCACTGGAATTACCATATAAAACCAGATCAAATACCCAGAAGCCACTCTTTGTAAGCATTTAAACAAGTAAACAGATGGCACCAGTGCAACTTACATCTACCTCTAGGAATCTGCAGTCTTGGGGAATTGTTAATGCTGCCTCCTGTTACACACTGAAATGAGCATGGAGATTGTGCTGGGAGCTATGGAAAGGCACTCCATGCAGGTAGCTGTGCATGTCCCATGCTCCCGGTCCAGCATGGAGAGCACCGGCATAGAGCATCCATTCTCAAGTAACACACTGGTTTCCCCATGTGGGGCAGGACCAAGAAGAGGAAACAAAAACCCAACAGAGATAAGCGGGAGCCTGGTGGGAGGAGGGGCAAATACAGGCTGCTGAAGCAATTGACAGAACCCTACAATGGTTTGGGTTGGAAGGGGTTTGAAGCTCATCCAGCTCCAACCCCTGCCACGGGCAGGGACCCCTTCCACTGGAGGAGCTTGCTCCAAGCCCCTGTGTCCAACCTGGCCTTGAACACTGCCAGGGATGGGGCAGCCACAGCTTCTCTGGGCACCCTGTGCCAGCGCCTCAGCACCCTCACAGGGAAGAGCTTCTTGTTAATTCAGGAGGAAGAAGAGGTTTTGAACCAAAAGCAGTCTCATGTATCCTGCCATCACTCACGCAGAAATGTGTGGTTGTTAATGCACCTGCAGCACTACCAAACACTCACTTCTCCCCATTTTCCCTGCTGGAAGGCACCTGCTGAGCTTACGAGCTTTCTACATGTGTCTGCATTAGGAAACTCGGGGTGTGCTGCTGAACGCTGGAGACGTGTCCAAGGGGCCCCCTCCTGTGCTCCTGGACATAGCCACAGTCCTGCAGTGTCAGTGCAGCGTTGCTGAAGACAGGAGCACAGCAGGAGGGGTGAGAGCCAGCAGCAGTGAGAGTATTAAACAGGCAACTACTGATTCCTGTATTGAATCCTCTGGTGCTCTCACCTTCTGTTTAAAGAAAAGCAAGCAGCAACAGGAGAGTTTCCAGATAGAACCGTATTAGACCAGGAGCCTACAGGAACCTGCTGTTCTCATAGAGTGTAATGTACTGCACCATTTGCCATTCTCCTTTTTCTCAGGCTGGTTTTCTCTATAGCTTTCAAATGTGTTTGAATTTGGAACATATCCAGGACAAATAAAGAGTTGATCTCTCTGTAGCCATACCCTGAATGGACAGGAATGGATTAAGGATCACTGGTGGGGATTGTGTAATACCAGTGAGAAAATCAGCTCTGGGGCTCCACATGAGAGGACAGGATGGAGATAGTGGAGCATCTTGGAGTCTCTGTGCGTATTTACACTTGAGGCAGGAATATGTCCTAGCACTTGAGAGCAGGAATGCTCGCAGCCTGCTGTGAATTCACAGGCTCAGCACAGGAGCAGAGAGCACCTGAAGCCGTTTTCCTTTTCTCCTGTACCTGGGGAAAATGGAGTGCTCCATCACTCATGCCATTTCGTCTCCCCTCATAAATTCTCCTCGTGTCCATTTCCAGCAATGTTCCATAGTAAGTTGTATTCTATTGAATCTTTCAAAGGAAGGTTTTCCCCACCTTAAAAAGAAAAAAAAACCCACACATCTTAATATCAAAGTCTCATTTTTTACTGACAAACTTGTTTTTTACCTCCTCTGCCCTTTCCGTTCCTAGTGACAGGACCAAGCCCTTCAGAGGATGACTGAGGCTAAGATATGCACACAGTTACTTCCTCTCCTTTTAGCCCCAGTCTCCCAGGGACTTCCTGAGATCATGTGTGTTAAGGACTCAGCTTTTCAGAGTGAAGTGAGACAGCAGCAGGTACATTCCCTTTCCCTGCCTTACCCAGAAGGAAAAACGAGTCACCATCATCCTTTTCCCCTGGAAGTCCTTGCACAATGTGCCGGCTACAGTGCTGATGTACATGTGGACCACGTGTTTCTAAATACTCTGTTGAGAAGTAACTCCATAAATTAAGTACATTTGGGGACAGTATCTGAAGTTTTGTAGCTTCTTTATTCAAGAAGATTACTGTAAATGCAAACATTTAAAATGCTTCTGAAATTAATATCTTATCTGAAATTAAAATTCCTGTTCTAAAGCCAGTTAGGCACTGAGAATCACTCAGTTTCACTTGGACATCTCAAGAGGTGTTATTCACTTGGAAATAAAGGGCTGAAGTTCCAAAAGTCTGTGCAACAGAATCCCAACATGCAACAAAAGAGTCTTGAGTTTTGATTTGAAGATGATGCCATCTCTCTGAACCTCTGGAGACTTTCCATCTTCAGTGTCATCTTCTAACAACATTCTCATCTCCTTTGCAGAAGAGGCTTTCTCTGGTGTGTAGGTTCTTGACGTAGTTTTCTGAGCACCTGGTGTATCAGAGGAGTAGCATTTTCTTGCTGCTTCCACTTGCTAAGTCAGATTACAGAGAATGGGAAAAGCACTCAACACTTCCCTCAGATTACTTTTCCGTGTAGGTAATTGCTGCTCTTCCCATAGGAAAGCTGTGGAAGTGTGGGTGAAGAAAGAGGGGCTGTAGAGAAATACAGCAAACAGGAGAGGCTTTGTGTCCTGGTTTCGTCTGGGATAGAGTTAATTCTCTTCCTAGCAGCTGGCGCAGTGCTGTGTTTAGGCTTTATTCTGAGAACAATGTTGATAACACACCAATGGGTTAGTTGTTGTTCAGTAGCACTTACCCTGGTCAATGACATTTCAGTCTCCTGCTCTGCAGGTGAGGAGGTGCACAAGAAGCCAGGAGGATGCAGAGGCAGGGACCAGACCCAAACTAGCCAAAGGGGTACTCCATCCCACAGCACATCATGCTTAGGATAGAAACTGGGGGGAATTGTCTGGGAGCTGTTGATCACTGCTTGGGGATGGGCTGGGCATCAGTCAGCCCAGCCTGTATTGTGCATTGTGTGTTGTGCATCACTTGTCTGGTTTGGGTTTTATTCCTCTCTCTTCCTCTCCATTTAATTATCATAGAATCTCAGGTGGATTTGGGTTGAAGGGACCTTAAAGCTCATTCAGTTTCCAACCCCCTGCCACAGGCAGGGACACCTTCCTCCAGAGCAGGTTGCTCCAAGCCCCATCCAACCTGGCCTTCAACACTGCCAGGGATGGGGCAGCTATCATCATCATTATCAGTATTATTGCCACTACTATTATTATTATTATATTAATAATATCAATGTAAATATTGATATTAATATTTTGCTTTATTTTCATTATAAAACTCCTCAGTTGAGACAAGGTTTTACTTTTTTGCCAGTTCTTCTCCCCATCCCACCAGGGGTTGCCTTTGGTCCCCTATTATTTCTATTTTCTCCATGAATTGCCAAAGCATGTGCGTTGTCCTCAGGAAGCAGAGTTCCATCGCTTGCTTTTAACACAGCAATCCTTTTTTTAACACAGCATCTCTTGCTTTTAACACACGCTGAGCCATGAGTACCTCCAGCATCCAGATCACTTGAGGTACCCTGGGTTACCTGGAGTTACCTAAGGTCACCTGGGGCTCACCGTAGCAGCTCTGCCACCTCTGTTTGTCACCTCAATTAGAAGCAGAGCATAAGATGTGTTCTTTGAAGCTTTGACTTTATAACACCAACGTATTGTAGACTCATATAATCAGACTGGTTTGGGTTGGAAAGAACCTTAAGATTGTCCAGTTCCATCCCTGCTTATTATGAAGCTTAAAGGTTTATTGGTGCTGCACAGACAGACTAAAATCCAACATAGTTTTGACCAGAAACAGGGAGAGACACCCAGGCTCCTGTGGAGAGGAGGAGCAGTACTAACTTGTCACAGCAAGTGAAGCTTTCAGCTCTGACAGCAAAGAAAGAAACCCAGCTTGCAAGTTAGAAAGTGCAGACCCTTTGCCTGTGTTGTGTTGCCTGTGACACTTCAGCAATGAGGGGCAGTGGGAGCTCAAAATCCTACATAGCCAAAGGGAGCTCACCTTGTGTGTGAAGCTGGAAGTGTGTTGTTAGTTTACATTTTAACACTCTAATCGAAACACACAAAACAGTTACAGCAGTACTAGTGCTTACAGCTCAAATTAATACAGGAAGACTCATTTGAGCAACCTGCACTGGTGAAGGTGTCCCTACCTGTGGCAGGCGGCTGGGACTGGATGATCTTAAGGTCCTTTCCAACCCAAACCCTTGTGATTCTGTAATTTATTTTACCCTCCAAATGGATGTATGAACTGATTTAACTTTCCTTGGATCTCTGCTGTTGTGCCTGTTCTTCCTGCATCTCTCTGGCTGGGTCATCAGTTTGTCTCCATGGACAACCGGGTTTTGTTGGGCTGTTGCCACAGGTGGAACTAGCCCAGGGTAGGTGACAGACACGGTGTTGCTATCACAGCCCAGCCAGCCAGGAGCAGCTCAGGTCCAGGCAAGCCCAGCCCGGCCCCAAGGCCCCACAGTGTCCAATCAGTACAAACCCTATGGATTTTCACTGATAACAGCAGAACTCATATTCTCTGGGCTGCAACAGCAGCACCACTTAGGCACTGAAGGAGAAGTGCCTGGAGATTTCTGCTAGGGAAATCCTGGCTTTTCCTCTTCTTTTTATTCTCTTTCCTTTTTTACTTCTGTTAACCAGGTGGAAACAGGGAGGATTGCCAAAGGCTGGGTATCTCCCAGCAGAGCAACAGAGATTCATGCACTGAAGACTAAGAGATATTCAGTCCTTCCCCAGGTGGGACGGGTTTTTAAGTACAGATGAGTACTTCTGGATATCACCAACAGACCTGCCAGCATGAAGGGATCTGGGGACAAGTACACTCTCTGTATAATGTCAACACTCACTTATTGCAGCGTGGATAAAGGATGGACTTTAAGTCCGACCTGACAGGGATCAGAGAAGACATAGAATGGTGCTTAGGTGCTTACCAGGGAGGAAGAGGATCGCCTCGAGTGCTGGTTGGCAGGGAAAGAAATGAAAGCTGCTGCTTCTGCACATCGAGTGAGCAGGCTAATCACTGAACTAGATAAAGCTGTAGACACATTGCTGTGAAAACCTGCAGCATTTAATCGTGACTGATTTTCTCTGTATAGAATAGTTTAAATCAGCCTGCAGTAATTGTTTCCTTGCTACAGAATCCAGCAGGATGATAAAACAGTCCTCAGTCTGTATTTTGTTTCCCTGATAGGGTGTTGTGGGAATGTGTGAGTACTAGGGATAAGTGAACTGATTCATAGCTTGGTAAGAAACAGAAGGAAACTTTTCTCCTTTCCCTGAGTCATGCTGAAACTTGGGCTCCTTCTGTGTCACTGGTTGTACAATTACAGCATGTGCTTAAGGGTGCAGAAGATTAAGGGCTTATTTGTCATTAATTTTTGACAGCCTGAGCTTCAAGGATCCCCTTGATGTATAGAGCTGCATAGAGCCCCTCTATGCAGTTGGTCATGCTCTGACTCTGCTCAGCTCTGGTCCATCGTTAGCCCTATGCAGTGGTGGAGCTGTAACGTCACCACTGCAAGTGCAGAGGTGCAGCGACACAGCTCTCCCTAATACTGATGGTAACAACTGGTTTTCTGTCACACTGGGCTTTTGAGTGCCTGAGACTCCCCTGAATGGGAACCCCAAGCCTGTTTGGGTGCTCGCAGGTGTGGTAGTGGTGTTCTTCTACTCACTGGGCAAGGAGTGCAACCAGGTAAGTTTTCTATGGAGGTATTAGCCAGTCTTGATTTGCTTGTGCTTTCACTGTGATTTACATGATGGCATTGCTTCCAGTTGCACCCATGATGAAAAGAGATCCTATGTCCTCAAGGGAAAGGAATTAGAGTCCCTTTTCCTTCCTTTTCTCCTTCCATGCTTTCCTTCCTTTTTTCTCCTTCTATGCCAAGGTGGAAAGCTTCATCACAGGGGTTAGGGCATACAGTAATACAGGAAGTCTGTTGTTTGTGTGAGCCCCTCATACCTGTTGCATAAAGGACAACATCCATGGGGTCTCTTCCGTCTGCCATACTGTAGAGGAAAGGAGTGTACTTTGGGGGCTTCAGTGTTTGCTCTTTTTGGAGCTTCAGAGCCTGCTTCAAGACATGTGTGTGACTGGGTACAACTGATGAGAAAGACCATGGTAGCAGAGCTGTTAGCAGGTACTTTAGTAGGTTTTCTCTAGCCAAGACATGCATTTGGAGCCTTGGAGAGATGATGAATTTTATTTTGCTATTAATTTAATCCTTTCTCTTTGAAAGTGTTTTTTATTTAGGCATCCCAGTGATAAACTCGTCACTGTCTCTCTATCACCCTCAATGCACATAGAATCATAGAATAGTTAGGATTGGAAAGGTCCTTAAGATCATCAAGTTCCAACCCCTCTGCCATGGGCAGGGACACCTCACACTAAACCATGTCACCCAAGGCTCTGTGCAACCTGGCCTTGAACACTGCCAGGGATGGAGCATTCACAACCTCCCTGGGCAACCCATTCCAGTGCCTCACCACCCTAACAGGAAAGAATTTCCTCCTTATATCCAATCTAAACTTCCCCTGTTTAAGTTTTAACCCATTACCCCTTGTCCTATCACTCCAGTCCCTAATGAAGAGTGCATCCCCAGCATCCCTATAGGCCCCCTTCAGACACTGGAAGCTGCTCTGAGGTCTCCACACAGCCTTCTCTTCTCCAGGCTGAAGAGCCCCAACTTTCTCAGCCTAAAAAATAACCCACATTGCTGGCAATACCCTCCAACAGTGCAGTCCTGTATTTTACTGTCACAAATTAATTTTATAAGTCAACAGAACCTAAAATTAATGTTTCCTGAAGCCTCTTAGAGCTTCTTGAAGCTTGCAGGGGGGTGCAAAGGACAACTGCTGTAGTTTAGTGGAGTCAACAGATAATGAAAGGGGGTGTTCCCTTGGTCACTTATGAGGAGACCAGCACAGCTTTTAGCTTCACTTTCTCTATCTTTTCCCATGCCAGAAAAATCCATGACTACAACCTGGGCTGACAGAGCTCACTGCACTGGGTTTGGCTTGTTCTCCTCTGCATTAACTGGGCATATTTTTGGCAGGTTGCTAGTTCGGACTGACACAAACCCCATGCCAGGGAACTGTTCCCCATCCTTGCGATGTTGTGGGAAGTCTTCCAGTATGCAACATTATCCATAAAGCCCAGTTCCTGGCCAATAATTTTGCGTGAGAGCTTCAATATTCAGTAGTGAATAGGAAGCTTTTAGCCACCCTGCTTGTAAAGAAGGCAGGAAGATAACGATGCAAAGGCATTTTGAAAGCTGATAATGCAGAATTCACTGAAATAAATCAAAAGGAAAAACAAGGCTCTCCCAAATTACAGGTTGGAACAATCTGCAGCATCTGTTTTGAACACGAAGTTCCCCCTTGGCTTGGGAGTGATCCTGGCCTGAATTTTTACTGTGTTTTCTGATGCTCTGGGCAGTCAGCTATGCAAGAGCCATGTGCTTGCTGGAGCACATGCCAGCTGGTCAAGTCCCTGATGACACAGGACTGACTGGCTCACAGTGCGCAAGTCTTGGCTTGGTGAGGCACCCGCTCTCTTCCAGAAACAAAACAGAAGTTTTGGGGATCTGTAGGGATCACAGGATCATGAACGGGTTTGGGTTGGAAGGGACCTTAAAGCTCCTCCAGTTCCAACCCCTGCCACAGGCAGGGACACCTTCCACTGGAGCAGCTTGCTCCAAGCCCCTGTGTCCAACCTGGCCTTGAACACTGCCAGGGATGGGGCAGCCACAGCTTCTCTGGGCACCCTGTGCCAGCGCCTCAGCACCCTCACAGGGAAGAGCTTCTGCCTAAGAGCTCAGCTCAGTCTCCCCTCGGGCAGGTTCAAGCCATTCCCCTTGGCCTGTCCCTCCATCCCTTGTCCCAAGCCCCTCTCCAGGTTTCCTGCAGCCCCTTTAGGCACTGGAGCTGCTCTCAGGTCTCCCCTTAAGGAACCTTCTCTTTTCCAGGCTGAACACTTCCTTCAGTGATGTAACTCACAACATGGCTGATACCACCAACTGCTGCAATGAGCCTTTGCTCAGATTGAGCTGGTTTGCGTGCTTGCTGGCTCCAAGAATTCCATGGTGTGGGTCTGGAGCTGTGCCTCCCCTCGCGTTCAAGGATGATTGCGTTTGATTGACGGTACAGCCAGAGCGGTGCAGAGCAGTGTGCCATGTGCTCAGCAAACACCTCACGGTCATTTTGGCAGCTCATGCCCTTTGTGTCAGTCTGTTGATATGTATAAAATAGCTCTAAAAGAGTCACTCCAGCAGAAGTGAGCAGCATCAGAGGCAGGTAGGCTGTGGGTCATATTTGTGTCCCCCCCACAAATAAAGGTTTTATCTCTTTTTCCATAGAGATCTGTCTGAGAATAACATTGATGCTGAGCAGTTTGGATGTGGGGAGTCTTCTCTGGGGATGGGTTATTTTCTGGGTGAAAAGTGTGACAAGGATAAGATCAGAATCCCAGAGTAAACCATGAAAAAGGCTGTCCACAACAGTCCCTGTCTGCCCTTCTCAGGGTGATGTAATCTGTGCTCAGTAATAACATTTCCGAGAGGTGGATAACAGCATTTTAGTTCAGCTCTAATAATTCTGTTAAATCAGAGCTGGGGATGTAATTGCTGTTTGTGACTGAGTTTGTTCCATATGTGTGTTATGCAGGATGCCATTGTAATGAAATGTTCCCTCTTTGAGCTGTATGCCCTAAAGAATATGCCTTTATTGTGTGGCAGGCAAAACACTCCTCTGCTCTCTGCCTTTGCTGTGCTTTATAACCAAAGGACAAGAGAGAAAAAGTCATGTTTCGCCTTGATTCAATTTCTTCTGAAGATTTTAAGTTGTGTAAGTGTTAGTTTTCATTTGTTTTAGTAACACACACAGCCTTGCTGGAGTCCTCTTCATTTCTTCTAATGAAAAAGCCTGGGAGCTTGTGTGCATCTGAGGGTTTATATGCAGTAGAGCGCATGGATAGGAGTGTAAGCAAGGACAGGGAGTGAGAGGGAGGAAAAGCATCTTCCAGGGACTCAAACACAGGGTTCTGAAGCAGCATTTTAGATTTGATTGTGAGAAGCAGACCTTGGAGATGTAAAATTTCTACAGAAATACTGTATTGGAAGGTAGCATGTTCCATGGCATGAGGTCAGGTCATGTGTGCTAGTATGGGTATGGAAAACTGGCAGACAGCAACTAATCCCACCCAAAATAGGAGCTGTAAAAGAGCAAAAGTGTGTGCTGGGAGCCTGAGAACATGAGTATAGAACCACAGAACCCCAGACTGGTTTGGGATGGAAGGAGCCTTAAAGCAGCCCATGGAATTTGTGTGTGCTCCCAGGGAAATACAACAGCAAAGGGCATCTTTGCTCTGATGTGGCCTCATGTGAGAGAGGAGGGAGAGCAGTGTGAATAATGCCTGTAGGCAGCAGGTAGAAGATAGCCATTAAACTGTCCCCACCACAGCAGGCTTAGCTCAGACATCTCCATCTGCCTGGGTGCTTCTGCAGCACCTCCATGCCTCCACCCCACAGCTGCCACTATCTATGGGAGGACTCCCAGCAGCAGACCAGTGAGAGCACACAGCTAAAGGGAGAAAGGAGGAAAACAGCCTCAACAAACAGGGATGGTTTTTGGTCTGGCATAGCCCTGGACAGCACTTCCAGTGCTTTACAGCCTTCTCTGCTGATGCTTCTGGGCACATGCATTTTGGCAAGGTATGATGCCAGTGTGGAACATCTCCATCAAGAAGCGGTGGTGAAGTCTTTGTATAGCAGCAGCTGAGCTTGGTGCACCTGCAGCCCCCAGGGTGGTTCTAGAAGTAAAAGGCACATTACCAGCATTTTT